ATTTGGTGATCTCCTGCTACTAGACAAGGAAGCCTGTTAAGTGAAAGCTTCTTCTATTCCGTCAACAACCATTTTAATCATTTGAACTTTAATGGTAAGTGGCGTAAAATCATAGCTGTTTGCTAGCATTTAGCTGCCATTGTGAAGTTATGGTTGATTTATAATGACTTGTGACTAAAATATTTAGAGTATTGGAAACACTAAATGTAATTTATGGCCTTGACTAATAGCGCCACATACATAAGTCGTTACTTGAAGGTCGTATATTCCTGTGTTCAATAAGTCCCGATATGTGGCAGTAATATTTAAAGATAAATTATTATGACCTTTCTTTTAAAATAAGACATTTAATTATGCTCAAGGCCAATACTGACAACTGAGGGTAAGTCAACCTATTGATTTGGCGCTTCAATGATAATTACTTCATTGCTATCGGTTGTTTATTGTGTTGGAAGTACATCGCGATTTATTATAAAAGCAAAGAAATTAATTTAACTTCTTTTTATCCGTCTGTGATTCCAGAATATTAGCACCATTATAAGTTGGGATATTTCTATAGAGCGTTTAGTTGTAAACACAATAATAATGTAAAAAGAAGTAAGGAGGAAAAAAAAGATCAATAAGGGATAAGTTTTGGTAAAAAAAAATTCAGTAGTCAGGCTACCAACGACTAGGACTACTTCAGTCAGCTATAGAAACCACTATTTTTCAAAATGTCGTCGCATATTAATGCTACTAAACTAAATTGACATACCTACTGCGGTATTTAAACCTTACAACTGTACAGTAAATGGACTCAGTGTAATCTATTTCTATTTTACATGTACATGTTCAATGTATATTGTGCGCATGATATTCAATCACCTCGTATATCACAACGTTTTCCAAAACACGCATCACGTAAAGTGAATTATTAAAAATATAAGCTGATAAAGCTGTTAAGGGATTAAATATAATCCCATCTCTATCCCATAAATCTTTACATAGTATGTTTCATCAATAAAAGGATGAAAACTTGCTTAATATCACAAAATTTTCCATCATTTTCCTCAGGAACTTCAACTCTATCTTATTTCTTGATATTTGTTAACACACATCCAATTGTCTCAGTGATGCAGTGGTAAGTAAGGGCGTGACATCCAGAGATATCACATATCTCCTGCTCATATTCACATCTTATACTTCGGAAGTGAAATGGTGAATATCTAACGCTGCTGTTAACGATACTAACTGAAATAGGTGTTCCAAGATTTGAACCAAGATGTCAACACATTTCTTTAGCTTCATACTTGTTTCATAAAAAAACCTAATTATGCCCCTTATAAGCCAAGATGGATAGACGTGTCCAAACCACATTGGAAACGAAGAACTAGACTTTATATATGATATATTGGTTGAAATAGGTTACCCATAAGCTTTTGTAAAGAATATAAACCCATTAAACTGTAAATCAGATACTATAATTGTTCATAATAAACCCCTTTACCTGAGGTCACCATCCAGTGGGAATACAACTGGTGATTTCCTACATGACAAGCTCATTGGAGCTGTAAAGATGAATTTTTATACAGATATTCTTTGTTTATCACTTTTTAGTCAACTATGAGTAGTTGCCTAAAGTAAGAACTATCTGTTGTTTTTGTCATTTCTGTACATATTTGTTTATCTTAACGTCCTATGGAGAGCACAATATCATGCTTACTTTAAAAAAAATCAACCAGAAAATCTGTCATCATTTTGCTTGTTTTAGAAAATTTTAAAGAAAGTCCAAATGTAGCTGTCTCGTAACATATAGTCAACAGTAGTCGTTCGATTTATAAATTTAAAACATTCAAAGTGAATAGACAAATGCTTCCTATGTTCCTCGATAAGGTTTGATTTCATCTTTTGCGTACAATTATTTAGACCAACAATCATAACCTTTGTATATGAAAAAAGCCTGTAGTGCTTGTCACTTCTTGGAGCTAGGAAAACTTGATAGACGATCTTACTAGTTCCTCGTCACTTTGTTTGTTTATTCGCTTCTTCGATAACTCCCTACTTAAATTTACTAACCCCACACACTTTATTGTGTAATTTGATGGTTACTACTCTAAGTTTATGTTTTCAAGGTTTGACTTTATTCATATGTCAAAATATATTCGTCAGTATCACGATGTTTATTATTCTTATATCTACTGTTATAGCTTGCGATTTGTACATCTTGATCGTGATTATCAGTTATGTAATAGTTCTTCATTTTTATCATTATCTCACAAATTTCTTCAGTTGGTTTAATGTCTTTTGTATATACATACACACATTGAGGTAAAACCTGGCAATCTAATTGAAAACAATAATCGTTGCTCACTTGTTATTTTTAAAAGACACTCCGCAGAGCATTATTGCTTTAAACTGGTGGTAGCTTTTATTCAAATTTAGAGCACATGAGGCTTAACTGATTTCTTGATGTTTTCCTGTAGAAAAAGACGTTTAAATTGTCAGAACATTTTGTATATTGCATTTCAGATTAAAATATCAAATGCTCTTCTTGTTTCTTTCAACTGTAGTATAACTTTTATAGATTTTGTTCGTCATTTTATTTTTATTGTCGCGAGTGCTTTTGTTAAAATAACTACACAGTTCAGTTTATTAGTACTTTCTGTGTACAAAAAACAGGTCACATTACTGCCCCCAAATGACGACTCGGTCGGGGGTGGAGAGAGTCATCTCTTCCTCTCCAAATGCTCTCATATGGCCACGAATATACAGCCACTCCCAAGGAAGTTCTACTCACTACCATCTTTCAACATTACTGTTGTTTATGAAGTTCAGAGGACGAAAAGTGAATGTTCGGCGCTATAACCGGGTTAGTGGATACAAAGGACCCACTTAGAGGAGTTAAAAAACCCTGGTTTCAAGCTAGTGGTGCACATGGACTCCAGGATCCTAAGAGAACAGACTGAGTATAAACCAATTATTGGTCACCGGCAGCCATCTTTCTACTTTGCTTCATTGCCTTGTGAATCAGACCTTTAGGTCAAAGGATCCGGATGTGGCCCTTTAAAAAAGCCATACGCTTCGATCTGAGCACCCGGGCAGAATCATAACCCACACACAAATCAAGTGACTTGTGTGGCGCACTTGTATTCGGTGCCCTTTTGTGCCAATATTTATGTGCTCAAATATGTAAATAAATAAACTGTGCTTCTTATAAACTTAAAATCCTAATGATTTTAGTTTATTTTCCTCCTATGCCTTTCATTTTCATAATTTACTTCTTATTCTTCTACGTTGGCTGGGAACTTGTACCGATGAATACTCGTGATAGGTCATATGTTGGAGTTGACTATCGGTATCTATTAGTACTAATCTAGGAAATACTTTCAATGATAGTTCATGGAAATTAGACATGTGATTACACAATTAAAATGTTTCTTATATTCAGTCGGATATGGATGATATACCTCAGGCCCGATCACTGCAACTCAGATATATCCGCTTTTTATCTTCCACTAGATTTTTAATTCTAATGTTCCTCGAGGTACACCTTAATTTCTTGTTTCTAAACCAAATTCTCAATATTTAGTCTTTTTGACTACCATTAATGCAATTATTGTCTCAATTTCACTACAACTCATCTTGTTAACGTTATCTTATGGTGCTAAAATTTAATGGCAACTTGAACTAAATCACATTATTATAGCTGATAAATGTAGAACCCTTTAGTTTGAGTTGAAAAGTTTTATTGTCCACCACCCATGTTAAAATATATAGTGAATGTGTTGGGAGATTTTCACTACCTATAGACTTTTTTCTACTAACAGTAGATTCTTCCTTCTGGAAAATACAGAAAGTTTAATAATATTTGGGTTTATCATCTGAAAAAATAGTAATACGAGGAAGATTAAAGATTACATTTTTACGGTCTTACGAAACACTGAACGCTACATAAATTCCTTTACTAAACCTAACCAAGATACTAGTTTTGGCAGTGAACAATTCATCTAATCTCTAATCTAAAAGTGTTAAGAATTCAGTTTTGTAGCTTCATCTGTTTTATTGACTCTTAAATTGTATTATGAGTAACTTATTTGGAGTGACTCAAATGAGCCTGTTAGTAGATTAGAATATAGTTTAAATGATCTGATAACTTTTTAATTGTCATAAAATGATCGTATGAAGCTTTAACGAAGAACATTACGAATGCAGTTGTCTAACTCAAATTGAATATAATTCATTTAGTGAAAATAAGTGCGAATCAGCATAATATATTGGAACAAGTTCTAAGAATTTTATATAAAATTTTATGTCTACATAAAGTAATTTCAAATTTTTCCCATTTATGGCCTTCAATAACTCATCTTTTAGATTATCTTGCGAACCATATATGACTTCCGAGAAAGGTTATTTTATCTCAAATCCGATTAAACTACCGAAATGAAGTTTTGTCATTAAGAGAATTCGATTAAGGCTCAAAAGCGAGTTACTAATTTTGTATAATTTCTGATGACTTATTTATGCAATAAAGTGGATTTATGTTTTACGTCTTAGATTGATCTTAGTTATATAGTCACTAAAAAGTAGGAAGCACTGGACAACTATTTTGTAGTAGCATGGGGCTCTCCAGCAATGCACATTAAACATCCCATCAGGGATTGAATTCAGGACTTCCAGATCTTGTGGTCAGTACTTAAACTGAAAACCGCTGAACAGACAACTAGTGATTGGCATGTCCAGATTTAGTCCATTTGCAATACTACTGCTACTTTTCAATGTCATTGGTAGGTAAACTGCTTAACATCAGACATTTTCTAACTCCGCTGGTTATGGCTTTTCACTGAAATTCCTGGAATTATTCCTAAATAATTTAACAGAACTTAGTTTCCTTTTCTTACACATACATATTTCACTAGTTATTGAAGATATAAATTTGTTTTATTATTTACTTCATATAAATTATATAAATCCATTATAAGCTGTTTCTTTTCTTATCTGATTTTTCACAATTACATCTATAGATGTTTAAACGATTAGTTCGTTGTCATGTGAAATCATCTCGTACACCACCCAGTAAAGATGGTACAAATAATAATAAAATTCACTTACCAACCAAATGTACTGCGTGGTTATTTTCAACCATCTCTTCTTCATCTAAAATCTCAACTACCAGTGATGTTGAAGCAAGTAAAAGTACAGAAACTTGTTTAATAGATAACTCTTTTAAAACGAACAATTGCAATGAAACATGCAATTTGATTAACATTCAACATCCTAATGATAGTCAACGAATCTCTTGCAATCCTTACTGCCCTGATCCAGAAATTATAAAACTACCTTTTGCACATTTTACTAAAGTTAGAAATCAATTTCTGACTATTCGGTAAGTTATTTCTACATGTTCACATAGTTTTCCTTTTATATGTTTTTGTGTTTAAGTTGATTTTGTGGTCAAATATATTTTATTTTTAAGAAAAAAGAAAATTAACTCTGTAATATGTACTTATAATCGATGTGTTTCAAAACATCCATCAGTAATTTAATAGTCTGAACTCTTAACTGTTAACCATCCAATCATCTGATAAACTTTTAAAAACTCGAATATCCTTCCTATCTATTATGTAATGTAGGAGATTTATAATAATTTATAATAATTCTAATTGTTCCACCTACAGTTTACTACTAGAATACGGCTTACTTTTAATATATCCATAAAACACTGATTTAATATCAACTAATTATGAGACTCAAACCTTAGATGATATGTTTAATAATTATCCGTTAAGTGATGATTCTTAGTAGATATAATACAGTTGCCTAAATCACATACATCTCTTGTGTAACATATAGTTTAACGTTACATGCTTTGTTACATTTTTGTTTTTTAGGCGAAAATTTAAAAAGTTACTTTAGGGAACAATTTCCTGTACTTCACGGATGGCTCGCACATATTAAGTTTTTCTCAAAGCTGAGTACATGAATCTGTACTTGATATATGAGTATACCATCGAACTACACAGAATGTATAATAAAGTGACTGGAAAAAATTACTTAAGTCGGTGAATATAAATTATCCGATGGTTGTGAAATATCACGAGTTAAATGAAGTTAAATTTGTACACCATTGCACTATGGAGCAGTGAGTGGAAGATTAATTGTTCTTAACTGAAAACTGCAGGTCCTAGGTTAGATCCTCGGCTGGGTATTTACTGTAGAGCAATCTCATACTGGAACGAAAAAAACTTTCCAGTTCCTCAAAGTTTTAAACTGCTGTCTAACTTAGAGCGGTTCATGATCTTCATTGTCTCGATTATTATTCGGTAGTCGATCACAAAAGGTTCATAAATACAAATCAATGTTGTTTTCCTTCTATCTGAAGGATTTTACCTTGGTGCGGTGTGGGATAATTGGTGAATAGGACTGTGGTTCTTCATACTAAAACGAAAATGTTGTTTAGTAGTGCTCCTTGGATTCCATTAATTTGTGAGGTCATAGTAACCGATAATTAATATAGATATTTAACTTTTCCAATTGTTACGCAATAAAATCTTTTTTTTAATCTTTCATCTTTTTTGAAACTATCATGACAGATCTCAATCAATATCTTCATCTATAAAAGAACAGTTAAAATCTCATTCATTTAACAATTGGTTATATTCAGATGCTGAATTAATTAATTTTGTTAAATTTATGTTTGTGGATTTAAATCTACCGGAATTATGTCATTTCTCTACTGATACACTTGAAAATTGGTTGTTTTCAACTTATTCACGATATAACAATGTACCATTTCATAATTTTAAACATGCATTTATGGTAACTCAAATGGTGAGCATTGTAAACCTATCAAATTATATTATTATTATTATTATTATTATTATTATTATTATTATTATTATTATTATTATTATTATTATTATTATTATGTCCAATTTAAAGTTTACAAAGAGCTTAGTTTCAATAGGTTTTGAGAGATTATGTCAGTGGAGTATTGTATTACGGATGAGTATACCTATTTACATTCAAATATACACCTATCAACTGCTAGCATTTGTATGTATGATTTATTTCAGTCTGGAAATGAACGATTTCGAAGTAATTTACGTATATATGGTTGTAGTGGACTTCTGTTTACCTCTTTATTCAAACCAGATATTATCACCGATTGAACCAAACAAGTATCTGAAGTGAATTGTGATTTCATAACTTTCTCTTGCTATAATTGACTGTCAACGCCAAAGAAAACCTGTAAATCAGAACAACACATTCAATTTTACACACCCAATAGTCGTAAAATCATTTAGTTTGGATTTTAATGTCCAATATTTTGTGCTGCTCGATTGATTTTGTTAGGTTGGGACCTGAAAATACTGGTGTTATATGTTGTGTAATTTAATGAGCTCATGTGAACATGATCAAGACTTTTTTCGTGTGGAGTAGTCAAGTCTAAAATGTGAATGAGCCAAACTTTGTTGACGCAGCTACAAGTCAGAGTAGGACGTTTTATGAATCTTGCAATTAGCCATTTTTATACGTACGTCATAGATGCATACTCATCACACAAATTACTCGAAGTTAATCTGGTAGTTATTATCTGGTAAAATAACGATTCAATTTCGAATACAGTTAGAGGTATGTGAGAAGATATCACTTCCTGGTTGTACACACTGTGAAAGGGCACTTCTTTTAGAGCGGCCTATAAAACACTCGGTTAGTTCTGATGTTGGCAACTTGGTAGTATTGTAGTGAACAGAGACTTAGTGGAAAAAACCAATTTATTTTGTGATACAAAATTACCCAGTGGCTCAGTAAAATATAAAAGTCATACACTAAGTATATAAATTGCGCATCTTCTTTGTGTTTTCCTTTACATTTTCTATTATTCTTCTGGTTCTATTTTTATTTTGACTGCTCTTCGATTTCCTACTGTTCTCTTCATTCCAATCTTCTGCTGCCAGGCATTCCACTTCCGACTGATGCTAAATACTACTTATATCTGCCAGCATAAGTAGCATGCACCACAGTGTGACCCTAGAGCCCAAGAGACAACTACTTATGGCCGGTCACTCACGGTATTTTTATAAAAAGTCGTCGGTATATTGAATCCATATATTTAAAACCTTACCATGGGCAAATAATATTTACGAAGGTGAGGTGTGCTATCTTCATGGTCAACCTTTACTGACTCTCTCCTTCCATTGTGGGAGGGAAGGTAGCTTATCTGGAGGTGCCGGCTACGTGAGGATGATACCTTACTCCTATCATACCTCTTTACAGTCAACAATATGATTTCGCCATCGAACCATGAGTTTACCACCCTTAGTTTTAGCGTTCTCCAACTGACCTGTCTGTATTGTAGGGCCTAGAGAAACGAATGTCTCAGACAATATAGCTCTATTGCAACCTCTAGTGGTGTCCGTCAAGGCTGTCCACTTTCTCCATTTTTGTTCAACTTCATAATAGACCTACTGATGGGAATAAATTTTTCGTCGACTGAATTCTCGGGTATTGAGCTCCTTCCAGGAGGTCCACTTATCGACTTAGAATATGCAGATGACATAGTCCTGTTTGGTGAAGACTGATAAAATGCAGGATCTTCTGGCAGCACTGAGCAACAATGCCAAGATGTGTTGGGATGCGCTTCTTCCCCTCTAAATGCAAGTTGTTGCTTCAGGACTGGCCTGCGTCATTACATGGACTAAGGATAGGGAGTGAAGTAGTCGAACGCGTTGACAACTTCACTTATCTTGGAAGTCTGATCAGTCTTAATGAGTTGGTGTCTGACGAAATCTCAGCACGGATTCGAAAAGCTCGTTTGGCTTTCGTCAACTTACGTCACGTATGGCGCAGGCGAGATATCCGTCTATCAATTAAGGGACGAATATACTGCGCGGCAGTTCGTTCTGTCCTACTTTACAGCTGCGAAACGTGGCCATTAAGAGTATAAGATACTCGTAAGCTACTAATATTTGACCACAGATGTCTTAGAAATATTGCTGGCATCTGCTGGGATCACCGGGTAAGTAATAGTGAGGTTCGACGCATGGTATTAGGGAACGATAGTAAATCAGTTGATGAGGTTGTGAATATTCATCGACTGAGATGGTTGGACCAAGTGTTGCGTATACCACGACGTGCAATGCTAACTGGTGTTGGGGATGGTTGGAAGAAAGTTAGGGGCAGCCAAACCAAAACGTGGCATCAGTGCTTGAAGTCATTAACTCTTAATCTAAGCCATGTTGGTAGATGCAAACTACTTGGTTGGGGTCCGCGTGACTATCGTAACCAATAGTTGGGGACTCTTGGTGACATGGCTCAGAATCGATCACAATGGCGTTGGTGTATACACTCTTTGAATAAAATCGCTTCATATCTTTCTTTCTACGTACTAATTCTTCCTTCTTGTACTATATCCTTATATACGATCTTTCCTTTATGTATTACATTATTGAGTTCATTACTCCTACGAGTTAGGTGTTCATCTTGCTGTGCTAATGAGGTTTGCCAACTCGGACCGATGCACATATGTGCCTGGTCCTACGTTGTAACTGACTGACTCATAGTGACAGGAATGCCTGACTATCACGTCAGGGTAGCAGCTACGGTCGATGACAGTTGAGTTGGCTTATTGCATATCACTGTATTTTAAGGTAATGGTGCTGAGCGATGCAGCCCCAAGGGAAAACATACTGTCAGTATTTTGGTAACACAAGATAAAATTAGGTAGTGTAGATAAATTCTCATTAAGTCAGACCTTACATACCATACAGATGAAAATGTAGAAATATAAAAATTACTGGCTAACTGAATTCGTGATAATGAAGCACTTTCATATAATGATACAAAACTAAAATCCAGATAATTGCAAGCAATTTTTCACATCGTTGCCAAACAATGAGATGTTCATTGAATTGTACAACAAGAGAGGTGATTCCATGAAACTGTCTATTCCCTTTTATTTCAATACTTCCAATGTAGTTAACATAACTAACCAGATGTATCCTCAGTGATCATGTTTTAAGATTGTATCTTATTAAAAAAGAGTAATATTGAATTTGTTTTATTACATGTATAGTAGGTTACCTTGGTGCCTTTGGAAATAGTGTCTTTTGATTAAAACATACTTAATTCCATACACGTATTGTTTGCGATTCATTTGACGTTGAAATGACTATCAACAGCTTGGTAATAAGTCAGTTCGCGTTATATGAATACATTCGCTATCTTATCTTGTTTACCTACTTCATAATTTATTATTTATTTATTTTGTCACTCAACCCGCCTTAATTATTCTCCATGATTTATTTTGTTAATTTTCATCCTAAACCAGTTGATATTCATGTAACTCATTAACCAAGTTTATACTAATACACCCAATTTTAAGCCATACTGTTTGTTTGTTGGCTAGTGATACTACTCAACCGCCTAAAGTGAGATTCAAAATTGTCATTTACTGGTCGAAAAATGTACACTTTAATCACTAAAGCAAAGCTCTTAACTTTCTATCTGTTTAATTTCTATCTTGATATATTATTCCAAACTGTACTAAGTTGAACTGCTTCTACACTTGTAAGAAAAGTATTGTCTCCCAATATATGTTACTTAACTTCATCAATCTAATCAGTCAACGCTAGATAGTTACGTTTTATTAAACAGTTCAAAACTCATTCTTCTACATGAGAAGTATATTATACTTTCATTATTCTTGTCATAAGATACACTTGAATCAATTGAAAAACTAACATTGAAGAACTTCACTGGTTTAGAAACCTACGAGAGTATGAGTCAACCCATAGTTATATATATATATATATCCCTACGTGTCAGATATGCCTGTTTGTTTGTTCTTGAAATACTATCCTTTTAGTTATGGGAATAATAGTAATAATAAAGTTATTAGTTATAGAACAGCAGATGTTTGATGGAAATCCTATAAAGAATATTATAATAGTACCGAAATATTTCTTTTGGAACAAGACACATAGTATGTCATGATTAGGTGTGTCATTTTGTGAGTTAAGTTAATCTATGATTCTTCAGCTGTCTAGTTAGTTAAGTTTTAACTTGCTAAAATTCACCTGTTCGGTGGTTGAAGGTCACCATACGGAAGCTTTACCATACCCAGGTTTCGTGCTAGTTGACACTGGTCAAGAAGACATACATTTAATCTTAAAGAGACTGGTGTCTACTCGAACGCGTACCACCTAGTTTTATTATTTAAGATGTTGCCACTAAGATACTCAAGTCGTAACTAAAATATTTACAATTGACTGATCGCTGAATGGTGGTCAATCCCAGGAGGTTTCCTGCCTACTACTTCAAACCATCTAACACAGGCGTAGTGAACGCGTTATTGAGTTACATAGACTGGTGACCATATTGTAACTTGTTCGACGGAATCCGGTCATCAATAAGGACTAGATATATACAACATTCACCTATTCCGAAAATGATGCTAGTTTTTAGTCAGGAGGTACTGAATATCTATTTGATTCTAATGTAGAACTTTTCAGAAAAACAAATCCACTCCCCCCTTAACGAGGAATTGAATATTCCGATCTTGTGTCGATCTTGTTGCTTTTAGACCATTAATTTAGCGTTTAGCGTAGCCTACTTTCCTAACTTTAACCGACTCGCGATATTATCACCATGAAATTTTATTAGTTTGTATATTTGCCTCACTTCTGTATTAATATCGCAGTTAATTAGTCTCAACTCACTCAAACTTTAGGAAGTCATATCGAAATTAGTCGCTAGTGAATAAATCAAATGTTCCAAAACGAATTAAGTAAACCCTGTTGTTAACATATATATATATATATATATAT